TTTATATAAAAAGTTTTTAAATCAAAATTTTTAATTATACTCACTATAACTATCAATTTTTTATTTTTAAACTTATCAACGAATCTTAAATCGTTTTAAATTAGTTTAGTTTAGTCTTATATAAAATAAATCTAAAACCAAATCAAGCCCTATCTATTTATTAAGATTTTGTTTCGTTGGTTTTTTTTTTGAGAAGAGTAATGGATAAAGATATTAATGTGTTAAAGGAGTTATTATGTAGGAAAAATATTAAATTTAAAATATGGTATACAAACCACGACCTGTACCAAAAAACAACAAGTGGTGGTTGCGCTATGTACGTGGAACGTGGAATGCGTTCGTTGGTTTTTTTTAATTGCAAATCTTTTGTCCTACCCCTACCTACCTAGCATTCCCTACATGGGTGGAGCCATCTGTAAACGGGGCGATGTCCCTCGAACTTCTGGGAAAAGTTCAATATAATCCCAAATTTTTGAAAATTTTAAATATAAATTCTATCATTAGTCATCAATCTTTTAAATATGAAATTTTTTTTCCAAAATCTTTATTTTGTTTCAACTAATATTCCTAACCTTTTTGATAATAATCATCATTAGTTGCTAAAAAAAACAATTGTTCCTTGTATTAATTACAATAGTAAAATTTAAACTCAATGTTAGCATGGCAATTAGTGAGTTTATTAAATATATAAAAAAAACCAACTTTAATCTCTAAATTAACTTCATGGTTGGTAAAAAAAATTCTAAATTTTTACAAAAAATTGATAAAAAAAAATATAAATTTCTAGCATATCTCCTCTTCCCTCTCTTCCTCATCCCCTATTCGCTTGAAAACCCTAACTTGTTTTCTTTATGATGCTTAAAATCACTTGAGATTATTCAATTGTATAGGTTGTTTAGTCATTTTTTTTCTATAATGTCAGTAATAAAAACTTTACCCCTAATACAACGTAAACTATTGAGTAGTTATATCTAATTTTTCTTCTTTTATCATTGATGTAAGTTAATATTACAAAAATATATATTTTTTATTTTTTTAATTGTTTTTTAACTTTTTTTTTATAGAGATAACCAAAAAAAAAAAGGCATTCGCTAATTACAAAAATACCTTTTTAACTTTTGTTTTAATCCTTCCTAAACACTATTGGAGCTTCCTTATCTCATTTTCCTTTGCAAAAAATTTGGTCCCCCTCTCAACAAATCCTGACTCCTCATTTACGCCTTTGCATGTAGGCCAAGAGTCCAATCACTCGTCCAGTAACCAAAAAAAAGGGAGAAATTCGTTTACACATTCACCATAAAGCCTTGGTTTCCAGTCTGGCATCACGTGAGGGACCGGGAAACACCTTGGTTTTCGGTTTCCGAGGAATTTAATTTCCTCCATGTCAACTTATTACGGGCAGGCTTTTGGAATACATGATTAACTTCAATAATACAAGTTATATTTTTTTTTAAAGTTAAATTTTTAATTTGATCTTTT